GTCAGAAAACAGTTTCCTCAAGCAGAATGTTTTTATATTCAGTCCTACAGAATTTTGTGTTGAAAAGTCCAAAAGTTCTACGATCGTGATCATGACAACAGACAATTCCTATAGCTTGTATTGTGCTCAACCTTAATAATAATATGATAATGCTGATCAGTATTTTGATTCAGCATCAGGAATTTTGAGAAGCTAATCAAGAATTTATACATTTAACTCCAAAGCTTTTACTGTAATTGTTCTATTTACCAGGACTGCTTCTGTGAAAGATGGTTGTCTGCACTCATGCTTGGTACATGTGCTCTCTCTCTCTGTAAAAACACTTCTGTATACATTGATCAAAAATCTTTACTGGGTTCTGGATGAACCAGAATATTTTTTCTCTGCATTTCTTCAAGTTTCTTAGAAAATCAGGAAATGTATAGTAATCCAATACTTTAAAAATTCAGAAATATATCCATCTATCCATCCATTTTCTAACCACTTCAATGGTGAATCCAATACAGAGTTGTAGGATTTAGAAATAATATACAGTGTGCTATCAAGATGCAAATGTATATGTACACCACAGCTGTTTATGCTCTGACTACACAGCACCAATTGCACCCAGCTTTGAACTTAACAGGAGGCTGTATTGCTTTGTTTACAAAATAGATGGTGAAATCAAAAGTAAAATACTTTGTGTTTCCTTTTTTCATTCATTTTGGGATAAAGGGTGGTACGATGGCACGCTGCAGTACTGGAGCCTTGGGTTCCAGTACAATCTGCTTGGATTGTGTATGTTCTCCCTGTGTTTGTATGGGTTTCCTTCAGATGCTTCACTTTCCTCTCATGGCTTCTGGGAAAATTGCCCCGTGTGTGCCCCGTGTGTACCCCGTGTGTGCCCCGTGTGTGCCCCATGTGTGCCTGTAATGGACTGGTGTCCCATTCAAGGTGCATCTGCTTTGCATCGGTTGCTTGTCAGGATAGGCTCCAGCTCCCCTGTGACCCACAATTGGAAGAAGTGGATAGAAAATGGATGGATGGATTTTGGCATAAAGCCTACTTAAACTCAACTATTAAAATACTTATTACATATTTTTCAGCCAGTATAATACTACCTAGATAACTTCAGCCTTTTCTTACATTACTGTCCCTTCATTATGCATGATCTCCATTTACATAACTTGCAAAGCTTTAAGAAACAGTACATTTTAAAAATTAAAGGGATAGTTGAAGATAAAAATATTCAAATCACAGGGAAGCAATTGTTCCACTAATCCTTCACATTCCTCAGTATTCATGCTTTGAAAAACACCATCTCAACATTTAACAGTTATAAAACACTACAGTAGTTTTACTATATCTATTAGTAGTTATATTATAGTAATGATTTTATTTTTCATTTTTAGGCTACTAAAAGTGATTATTAGAGAGCAAATTACATATGCATGATATGTCTCTGAGCCCACAGAGTGCAGTCTGCATGCTGAATGCTTTCCAACTAAGTCTACATTGTATAATGGAATTCTGAGAAGAAGTGACATTTAAAGCAATATTTCAATGCAGTTTGTATTGCATTATTCTTTAAAACAAACAAATGGCCATGTGTCAAGGTATATTTGCCATTTTTATTGTAATGAATAAAATACTCTGAAGTAAACTTATGTTACAAAATCAATCCCCCTCTCTAACACAGAAACTGTCCAATATACCGCATATAGTGGGACACGCTGGGCAGGGTTGGGTTGTGTTTCTGGACCTCATTTGAAAGGTGGACCCAAACTATGAGAAACAAATTCCAGAGTAATCTGACACTTTTTGTAACACCAGTAAGACAAAAATGCTTAAAATGAAACCGAAATCCATCTTTAGAAAACAAGGATTTATTAAAGCCCAAGTTTGGGCCAAAGTCTAGTTCAGATTCATTTCTAAACAAAGGTACTATAGATATCCCAAAAGAGCTCCAGCTGCTTTCTTTAAAAACCTTATTTCTGTCGCTCTCTTTCCAACAGTCCAAACACACATACTAAGTAGCATTTTACACCTGTGCTGATTGCTACTGCCCAGGTGTGTCTATTTGACTGGGGTTTGTTTCCTCTTTGGGGCGGACACAGGATTTTGTGACTTGTACTTCTCAGATTTGACTTTTCCAGAATGATTTTTGATCATTCACAGAGAGGTATTTGTGAATTGTGAAAAATTGCACCCATTAATTCATGCAGTGTTTTTATTCACAAAACATGGATAAAGGAGGTGTTTAATTAGCTTGTGAAGATGCTAAGAAAAGCATATGTTCACAGTTTCTCAGTGGTGCAGTAAATGAAAGGCTTCTTTTGAGCACTTGTTTATAACATTGCATCATGAAAGATTAGAAAGATTAAAGACAAAATGTGTAACAAGAATAAGCAGTGATATATACATCTTCTCTCGGGATAGTTTCTCAATGCTTTGTTGTGTCAAAAACAATTTCAGCATCCATCCTCCTCAACTAGGATTGAGGATTGATTTGCATGGAAGGCTTCCTCTGGATTTCCTTAATGTATGATAATTAACTTTGCATTACATCACAATGTACTACTGATAAATACTGTGCAACCTGAAACTTAAGTGTACTGTCATGCTTGGACTGACCACTTATTTTCACTTAGACACATTCAAAGAAATAGTGGACCTGAAAGGCCTTGAGCTACTCCAATGCACAAAATGTACGAAACATCATTATCCTTCATACTTTTAAAGGTTTTCTTAGGTGAATGTAGCATTGTATACCAGCACTTTTACTTTTTGCAATTGTATTAACATGCTGTATTTTACTGCAGTAACCCATGGAAATACCATGAGATAACATGACAAGATGGCTCTAAGAAATATTTCTTGCGGTACACAATGAAGGTATGTTAAAGCCCTAATGACCATGGGACAAACAAGGCAAACGTGCAAGACTGCTCTGATAAATGCATCACGGTGAATGCTTATAAAATGAAGTCTTCTCCTTTTCTTCATGTATCCTGTCTGCTGTGCATTCCCTGTTGCTCTGGAACCTAGTTTTCAATGCTTTCTGCTGGAATGTGGAAATATGTTGGCCTTGTTCCTTTTTATCTCACTTATGCTAATGGTTTTGTTGTGACTGAAGTGAAAAACTTCAGACAATTCAAGTACAGGTCGTCTGCATATTGTATCAGTCTTATTAAGTCTCCTTAAATTTGCCTAGCACCAGTTATTGGCACATGTACCCTTCACCTGCTATTATTGGTTTTATTTTAAACTTTTCCAAAGTGCTCAGTTTAATATATTAATTGTGGATGTGCTCGTTTACTCACACGTGGAGTGATATTAATGTCTTTGCACGTGAATTCTTCAAATCCATGAACAAGTGCAAGGAAATGTGATGTTGTCACCACAATGGGATGCCAAGAATGGCAGGAGAAAAAATGTACAATGTCACATTACAGTATGTGATTTATTGCTGACCAGTGGTTTATCCTACCACGTAGAGTTTTAGAGATGGGGAAAAGGATCTGGGAGCATATAGGGTATAGGGAACTACTGTTCTTTACCAACTGACATCAGTGGGTTTACTGGTAAAAAGTCTTGTCTCCAGCTGTGTCTTTAAACAATGACTGGTTTGCCAGTGCTTGGCTTTGTGATCTAGGAGGGATATTTCTGCTTACATGTGGCAGATATCGGGAAGTTAGATGTAAGCAAGCAGCTGAAGGAAAGATGAAAAAAATCCTCTTCTTAAGGATAAAGCAAATCTCACTTGGATTAAAAAGCACTGACTCATTCGTAAGAGCTGCTTTGTGTGAACTACTTTTAAAGAACACAGATGGTGTTTTGATGGGAAAAAAACATTAGCAGAACACAACTCCCAATAAGTATTAGAATATCAGCCATACAAATATTTATTGTTGGCGCTGGGTATTTTTCAGCATCAAGAATCCTTTAATTAAGAACTGTATGTACTTTTGAGATGTGTAGATTGTTTTTTTTCAAGCCTGCATTCTGTTGATCATTCATTTCATTATCACGTACATGTTATTTTTAGATTCAGAGTGATAGATGCAAAATTAATTTAATATTTTAAGGCACAACCCAGAGATTCTACATGAAACCAAGGTTACTTTGAGGTTACTTTTACTATGGTAAAGGTAACTGCAACAAGAATCCGTTTTAAAATGGAACCAGTACATTTGGATTAGAAGATGCCTTTTAATTGTGTTTTCTAAACTCAAGAGACAGTGCCTAAAACAGAAAGCATTACATATTCTCCAAGTCAGATTGTATTAAAAACATCTTTCTTCATCTCTTTCCACTTCCTTTTATGTTTTATTTCCTCATTGCTTTGAGCCATCCGAATAATGTGCTTCATATATAATTCTTTGAATAGTTTGCTTTTAAAGTGAAAACACTTCAAGGGCTATAGTGTCTGCATTTTTAATTAAAATTATAAACCAGTAAGGATCTGAAAATAAAGCAACTAAGATTTTATGAGTTAGCTTAGTATAAAATGCATAGTATCAAATCAAATGCATACTGATGGTATTCCTGTGATATAGAGAACATGTAAAGCACTTTGCAAAACTATTTTCTCTTGCAAATTAAGAAAGATTACATGTAGTTCTATTGTTTTATGCTGATAAACAGTATTATGACAGTAGCTAAAACATACTGTTATCAAGTAAATTCAAATTGCTTTGTGTGCAGAACATAATCTAAGAGGCACTTTAAAAATGGTCGGTTTCTTTTAGCACAGTACTATAACTTTAAATATGTTACCATGATCTTGGAGTACCCATGGTGATGAGATGCTATAATTATAGTCTCTGTTTGATAATTCCTCTTTGTGGCATAATAATTTAGTGGCATTCATAACTGTTTTAAAAGACTTAATCCTGTCCTAAGCAGATTAACTATTGAATAAAATGTTGTCACAGGCTGGTCTGTGGCTCTCTCAGTTACCAGTACTAGAAAAATGTGTGCTGACTTTGTCTCATAGATACCTCGGCCTTGTTTTTCAGACTCTGACAAAGACCACCCCAAGGAGGAGGCTGGGGTGATCTGGAGAGTGACGGGGGGCCTTTTCAACATCACCAGGGGAGCAGTGGGCGCCACCCTGGGTGGCGTGGCATGGGTCGGTAGCAAAAGCCTGGCGCTCACCAGAACGGCCGTCACAAGTGTGCCCGCGGCTGGCGTCGGGTTGGTGAAGGGGAGCGTTTCCGTGGTAACGGGAGGCGTGGGAGCCGTGGGTTCTGCAATGGCCAACAAAGTTCCCTTCACACCAAAGAAAAAAGACAAGTCCGACTAGATTTTCCCTTCATTTCCAGTTTTTGCTTTTGTGTTTTTTGTTTTTTTTTGGATTATGTCTTGGATATACCTGGTCACAGCTGAGCATCTGTCTGCTAGGGCACTTGTTCATGGAGAAGGTGACCAGAAAAGATATCCATTAGCCTCTTGCTTGCCCCTGCAGTACTTATGTGTATTGTTTAGAAAGTGAGGTGTGTTTTTTATTGCTTAAAAACATAGTGATACAGACAAGATAAATAAAAACATATATAGTTTACTGGGGGAATGGCCAGACACTAGTCACATTTATTTTGTGAGAAAATATGCACTATTTTTCAAGACAAAAAATGGTCCTTTTCTGGCCTTATGATGCTGCAGTTATATTTTCAAGTGTTGCAGGCAATAAGTGGGATAATGCCTTTCATTTCCAACACACAAATATTGGTAGCCAGACCTTTCACCTTGGTTAGATAGCAGACCTGATGCATGTTGCGTGATGTTGAACATACTGTAAGTGGTGTAGGTGCTGTAAAAGCAGCACACAGACTTGTATAAACAGTTCGGTAACATATTGTCGTTACAAGCCTAGAGAGTTTGACTTTTAAAATAAATTTTAAAAATCCAGATTCTAAGGTCTATTTAAAAGTACTTACTTTTCCCTGGGTTTTTAACTTTCATTTTAGAAAGCAATAAGGGCTTACTAGACCAGTATCGTTAAGCACTGGTCACCTGCAAGACTGAAATCAAAAAGACTTTGACATTTTCAAGTTCTGCTACCTTTAGTGATGAAATTTCTCTGTTCAGAATTGTTTTAGCTGACTTAATTATTGTATCGCTTTCTAACCCCCTCGCCTTTCCACTGTTCTGTTAAATGTTGTTTTGTGTGCTTTACTTGTGAGAAGGTGGAACAATCTGTTAATTCCGGAAACACTCCCTGTTTTCACAGCATGCTCCATCCAGCAACGATCAATGGGCCATTGTCCTAAAATGAGGACTTTGATATTAAATTCTACCTGTTGGTCCAGTCAGCATAAGTAACAACAATTGTGTGTTGATTTGTCCACTTGCATCCCCACTTCAGAAATCAAGCACGCAGGTGTGGTTTGGATTGGTTCAGAAGACAGACCTAACATAGCTGTCCTGCCTGGAATACTTTCCCATGGAAAGTGGATGACTTGGCAATAATAAGAACTTTTGCTTTGTTTCCAAGATTTGTCCTACAGTACCTACAGTATGTAAAAGTAAAAAAGGACCAGGAAAAAATAAACAATAATCCATAGGTAGGTTATGTAATATAAAGGTATACTCAGTATCATATTCTCCATATTCTGTCACAGATATGGAAATAGACGCTTATAGTCTACTATTTATTTTTTGAAACAGCTCAAAGATGACTTGCTAAAATTATTTTCTGGGTGTAAATCGGTAAGGATTGTATACATTTTAAAGGGGGTGCCTCATCCAGTATCACAACTTTTTTGGGAAGAAAGCTAGAAACCATTTCCAAAAAAGAAAAATCCAATTTTTATGCAAGCACTGCAGGGGTGAATCCTAGGCAGTCCCATGATAGTAATGAAAACGTCAAGTTGCAAGGGCTGGGGATAAGTGGTTACATCATGCCCAAAACTTGCATAGACTTCTTTGCATAAATGTATTTTGATGTGCCTGTGTAGATTAGCTAAATACAGAGGTGTGCTGTATTTTCCAAGGGTAGAAAATAAAATTCAAAATGCATAAAGAACTAATTTCTTGAAACCCTGTACATTTTCTATGATGTAATGCATATTTCCAGTAGAACTGTTTTGCTCATATAAAGTTGTATTTCCTCTCTTCTAGCAATCCAGATGTATTCATTTTTCTATGTGTTTAAGAAAAAGAACTTTTCAATTATTGTACCTAAGTGTTTGCTTATACAAGTCACTGTGAGCTTTCTTTACTAGCAGTTGAAATAACAAAGTACTGAATCTGCATGATAGTTATGTACATGAATACATTGCATGTTTCAGGGACTGTAACTAAGTGTATATGATGCAGTACATTTTTCCAAATTAATTCTTACCACTTGGTTATCTGTTTTTCACCTGTTCTTCACATAAGGTTCTTGTAGGAACTGGAGACCCTGTTACTGTAAATCAAAATTCTAAGACCAGTTAGATTTTGTCTATTATAGAACTATTTTTGCAAACTTGATGCTGTATTCTATAAAATCTATAAATAAATAAAGTAACTCTGTATTTTAATGTAGAAATCACAAAATGTTTTTTTTTTCCCAAAAGTGTTCTCATTTCAGAGGGAGTGAATAAATTAGCGATTTACTGTATTTGTGGCACATTTATTTTTATCCATGGCATTATGTTATTCTTTAAAGCCAGAGACAAGTAATGAGTAATTATTGTGTAATCTTTACACACAAGAACAGTCTAGGATAACTTTCCATTCAAGCCTTGCTGTTTGCGTGAAAAGACACCTGAACACAGCTTTGTGTCTAATTATGAATTGCTCTTTATCTACCTTAAATTTCCCATTGACACACCTCATTTGTGACATTTGTTGTGGTTCCTTTTGAACAATTACTCAACACCTTGTTCATTCTTCTCCCCTCCCTTATTTTATTTTGTTTAGTACTGCTCTCATTAGATAGCCCCTCTCTCTGGTTTCTTTAGATCTCTCCCCCTTACTGTTAACATCCCTCTCTGAGCCTTTCCTGTTCCTGCCCTGAATTCATTTATTCTTTTCTTTGTTCTGGCAAATCAGCTGGATTTACAGCTTGAATACTTCTGGGTTCCTTTATGTCCAGCTACTGCTAGGGATTCCTTCCTAATCACTTTTCCCATTGCATGCTGCAAGGAGCCCTGTGCGAATGGGTGGAGGCAGGCTTTCTTCTTCCTCTGTGTCTGGTTCCAGAAAGAAGACCTATTGCTGCAATTACAAGACCATGTTTTTTTTCCCACTTTCAAATAACTACGTGGCTACTTTTAAATGTAAATTATTTCTCATAATACTGTAACTTCTCAATTTGCAAAGAATTGGAAACCAAGGTCATTGTCGCTGAGTGGAGATTTATTCACTGACTAATTATATATTTTGTTCATCATAAAGGATTCCTTATTCCACAGCTCAGACACAACACAGTTGGCATTCACATATCCCACACCTTGAACTTTCTGTTAAGAGAGATTTTAACATCTTTATTATATATTATTGTTATTTCTGCCTTTTTCAAACCTTGTGCATTATGTGCATCTACTCATAAAGACATGAAGGCATTTGTGTTGGTACTATATTTTAACAAATATTTCCAAAACTTAAAGTGATTGCTTTCAAAATATCAATGACTGAAGCAAACTACTAAGGATGCTTAAAATGTAAAGCCTTCATTATTAATACAGCTTCATTCTGCTGTCACAAGGAAAGGGGGTGCAATAGAAGAGAATTGGCTTAGTATATAAAGATAAGAATAATAATCAATAATTTCTTACATTTAACTAGCGCTTTTCTGGACACTCCACTCAAAGCACTTTACAGGTAATGGGGATCCCCTTCACCACCACCAATGTGCAGCCCCACCTGGATGATGCGACGGCAGCCATAGTGCGCCAGAACGCTCACCACACATCAGCTATCAGTGTGGAGGAGAGCAGAGTAATGAAGCCAGTTCATAGATGGGGATTTATTAGGAGGCTATGATTGATGAGGGGCAATGGGAATTTTGGCCAGGAAGCTGGGGTTACACCCCTATTCTGTTCGAGAAATGCCCTCAGATATTTAATTCCCACAGAGAGTCAGGACCTTGGTTTTACGTCTCCTCTGAAGGACAGCAGCTTTTTACAGTATAGTGTCCCCGTCATTAGGACCCACATAGACTGCAGGGTAAGCGCCCACTGCTGGCCCCATTAAACACCTCTTCCAGCAGCAACCTTAGTTTTTCCCAGGAGGTCTCCCATCCAGGAACTGACCAGGCTCACACCTGCCCAGCTTCAGTGCGTTGCCAGTTGTGAGTTGCAGGTGCAGATTACTGTACATACTGTATACTGCCATGTATTTGGGGTATCTCAAAACCCAACCACTTATCTTATCTTCAACAGTCTGTATCCTTTCAAATTTTCCTACCAAGATCCAACAGTACGAAAAAACAGGTGTTAACTATGCTTGGAGCCCTGTATAAGGAAGGTGAAAGGAAACCCAATCTAAAAAAATACTGCAGACTCTTATATTTGCTACAGTACAAATGGATGTGACTAAAAAAATCACAGACTTTGATAGGCAATCGAATCAATTTTAACTGTGGAGGAATGGATTGTGTCTGTGGAAGCTGGCGATGATGTTGGTAATTGTACATTGTGGGTAAGCAGAAATTAATTCTTTATAAAAAAACAGTCAAGGGGGAATGATTCATTCCAGGAAACATAACTGAGTACCATCTATAATGCCATCTAAAAAGCTTTGTACTGTACTTTTATTCATAGCATACATTCAGATTTCTTAACAGTTATATTATTGAAACTGTCCTTTTCAATTTGCAACATAGTTAATTTCTGTTTAATCAAAATATGGTGTACTGTTTATAGGTACCTGCTGCTGATAATACTGTATATCAGTGAAATAAACTTTTAATGTAACTGAATTCCTGTAGATTCAAAAAACACTGTATTAAAATGCAAGGCAGTAGTGACAGCTGTTTGTTCATCAGTGGTAGAATGAGGGGAAAAGAACACACATGTTCAAAAACAAAAGTTTTTCCCTGAAAAGACACTACAAATACACAAGACAAAGATTTCATTAACCTTGTGACAACAGCTGGCAGTCCTGGTTTCTGTGTTAGTTGTTTTTTTCTGTTTGTTTTTTTTTTCCAATCGAGACTAACACGTAAGCAGGCCATAAATGTTTTCCAGAAAAGACAGGGCATCAATAGGCTCTTAGTATAAAGTCCAATTCCTGTGTTTGCCAACAGTAACAGCCTGAATGGTAAACCAAAGAAGGGATTGTAGGCCTTTTCAGCCCTTAATGCCAGATTATACTTGGTTAAAATGAAGTCAGTAAAAGCACAGACTTCCTTTTCCATCCATACAGTATTACAACTCACTTGCTTAATCATAAAAAGAAGGGCTGTGTTTTATAGTACACAAACGTCTAGAACATTTCTTCGCTATAAAACATTCATAACACAAAAAATGCTGAATAAGTGACTGCAGGTTTCAGGTTTACAGTTTGTTTTAGGGAGTTGCTTCTTATTCATATGGTTAATTAGCACATATAATCCATTATATCCATGTTAGAAGATGTAATCCATTCTTATGATAATTGATAGACACAGAGCCGCAGTAGAAGATAAACTCCATAACCAACTTATCAGGGTGTTAAGAGTTCAACAGCAATAGGATTTTCTAACACTTTACAGAGTGTTTTGCTTGGAAAATGCAATGAACCTCAGGCATCCATTCCATTAAAAATTCAGTATCAAAGCATGTGCAATATTTCTGTTCAGTGGACAGGTTCATTGTGTAATACAGTGTGTACTGCCCAGATGTCTGCAGTTTAAAGTCTGTTTATTTTTATAATTTTAAATATAGTTAAAAGCATGCCGGATGTAGCCTTTCTATCTGGTTCAACTGCAGTGCACTGTCTTCAGTTAACAATATGAGAAAATCAATCTCTCCACAGCAGAGATACAAGTTTCTGAATGGCTGAATAAGGTGGCAGGAGGGTGAATGACTATCAGTTAATTTCACAGGGTGAATGACCTTAATAAGCCATTAGCAAAATCAGAAGCACAGGGGAGCGAGGATTGTATGGGCAACTTGATTCTGACATCTACCAGTAAAGTTACGTTAGAACTGTGCATTTTTAAAGAATAACATTTTCTTTTTGGCAGTTTCTTGTTGGACACAGTGTACTTGTTGATTACCCTAGGTACAGTACTCAAACAGGTGTCTTTAATGTTCCACTGTGGCTGAAGAAGCTGGAGTCCCTCAAATCCAGATCAAATCAATAATGTTAATCTTCCATTCTCACAGACTTTTAAATATTTTAAACATGAGTGGAATGGCTCAACACTGAATAACAGTTTTGAATTAGCACTTCAGAAATATTACAAGACATATTTTTTTCAGTGTTACATATTAAGAACCCTTCAATGCAGGAAAGATCAAAACTGACAGAGATTTGTCAATTTGAATTATTATTATACCATTATGTCATGAATGCTACTACTTATTCCCTGCATTTAGTGCTTTCATTTCAGATTTCAGAGCATTTTACAATTTAATTTATAGAACAAATCCATCCAAATGGTTGCACCAATTACGATGATGTTTGACAAGCATTCTGCACCACCAGCCCCACCACACACCAGATCACCTGAAGAACTGAGAAATTTCCTCACCAGTTGAATTAATGGTAGTCCATGTTTCTAATTCCACAGAGCAGAATTTAGCAAAGATCACAATATGGACCAGATTAAATATTAGTATCTTAACTGCCCATAGAATCATTATGTATTGCATTATGATATTACTGAATAATTATTTCACTAAGTGTATACAACAGCCATTTTGCATCGTCAAATTGACAATGTAGAGCAACATTCCCTTTTTATACCAAATACTGTATAGTTGGAATATGTATTACACACATGAAAACATCAAATTCAGACTTATATTACACAAATCTAGGTAAAATTGGATTTGTTAAGAAATCTTATGGATAGTTAATGATGGAATATTATTCCAAATGGTTGCCTTACACTTCTTTCTCTTCTTTCGTGAGACTTTTGTGGGAAATTATGGGCCGTGATATTTATAGTTTTTCTTTTTGGAAAAAATTAAAGAAAGCTGTGTGGACTAATCCGAAAAAAGTCGAGACCATTTTTAAAAGATTTTTAAAATGTACACAACACATTCTGAATATGCCCTGAATCTAAACATACTGACGGTGGGGGTAACATTCAAACAAAAAACAAATTGCTATTAAACATATTTTTATGTTTCAGATCCATGCTATTTGATTGAATAAAGAACAGATGAAATTTATAAATATATACATTTCCAATTCTCTGTCCTGTATTAAATAGCAGTCTCAGTATCAACTGAGATTTTAAAAGCTATTTTTGCCAGTTACAAAAATAAAGTATATTAAAGAACGGTTTGTTATATACATAATTTAGCAAAAACATAAGATTTCCTTACTAGAATTCTGAAACCTTCATTAACTCTTCAGATAAAATCTTAATTCCAGTTCCTACAGTATCTGCAAAGTACTTTGACCATTATACTCCAAATACGGGTAACTCCTTCTCACCAGGGATATTCAAGGGCAATTACAAGCTAGTCTGAAACATTAATTCAACCTTTTTAAAAATATAATATGCCCAGAGATGTAAAGGATGGAGTTTTCTTTGGCTCAAAACAAAATTTCCTCCTAAAAGTGAAATTAACTTTCTTTGAGCAATGGAATTAACTTTTTGTGACTGAATCACCCCCCAATAGATGTCAGATAATATTAAAGGTTGACTGCAACATTCAAAGGTTTATTGCACAGTTGGTCTCATACAGTTTTTTGAATATTTTAGCCACAGGAAATAAGTACATTTTCTAACAACTTCTTGGGTCCAATTACTTAAAATGGACAAACAGTAACATTCACTTTTGTCAATGCAACAAGCCAGCATACAATAATTTAGAGAAGAATGGTGCTTTAGTTTTGTTGCTGAAGTAAAATAATGGTCTTTTATAAATCAACAAACATTATTTTCTTGTACTTCATTTTAAAATTTGTAAACAGCATACAGCATCACATGTTTTAGTCCAGTATATGTATGAAGGTTGTGCTGATGATAAATTACCCTTAAGATGCCTTCAAGGTTTTGGACATTTAGTGCAAATCTGAAACAAATTAAGGCAACATTTATAAATATATAAAAATAGTTGTCCCCCACTCCCTTCATTACAAAAAAGGTAAAAAAGTTCTGTTCTCAACCAATGTCACTGACATGTTTTTCAGCTCCTCGGGGGATTCTACCATCTTGTACCCCAGCTGGTTTAGAACCTGCTGACAAACAGTTTGGGTGTAATCTACCATTTCATAAGGGAGTTTTAACCTCCAGTTCTCTGCATTTGCTGCCGAGTCTCTCACGGTTCCATATTTATGCTTCGCTGACAGCTCGTTACTTCCCCGGGTGTTGGTTTGTATCCACTTGACCACATTGTCATCCAGCGACATTCCTAGGTACTCGTATATCTCCTTGGTTTTTTGGAGGGGGTTTCTCGCTAGATCTTCGTACCTCACCAGTATGTATTTTCCTTTTAGCCATGGTGGCTTGCTGAGTCCAGTGGAGACTGAGTTCAGAAAATCCTCGCAAACCATCGTCAGCTGGCTCATATCCAAGTTGTACGGCTTTCTGCCCGTCGCCCTCCAGATCCTCCATAGTCTATAGATGTCTCTGAAGGTCTCGATCCTGGAGGATAAAATTCCTCTTGGATCTCGAACCAGCTGAATGATTTTCAGGTTCAGCCTGGGGTCTTCAACTAACGCCCTGAGGTCGCTGATTTCTGGAACCCGGACTGTTTTGATGGCAACATGCCTCCGGTCCTTGCAGGAATCCGCAGCCAAAGTCATGTTTAGAGAAGCGCATTTTTTTACGCAATCCCCTTCCTCAATGTTGACCTCACTGGGGCGGAATGCATCACACACCGGTGGGGAGCACAGGGCCTTACTCGCTCCCCTTCGGAAGAGTTTGTCAGTGGTGTGGTTCACCGGCTGGGGTTTAATGTAGCTTTCTAGAAAGTACAAATCACAATCGTACAGACTTCTCAGGAGGTCCCTGCTGGCCCCCAGCATCACCCTTCTGTCAGCAGTGTTTTTGCTGTGGGAGAGGCGGGGTATCAGTGTTGTCTGCACATGGTACAGAGGCTCAAACAAGTAGAACACATCAGAATGCTGATTAAATAACTGCCCAACAAAAGACGACCCACTTCTTGTAGTAGCCAAGATCAGGATATGAGTCTTCCTGGAGATATTGTAGGCAAAGTAAGGGTACTCGTCACAAAGCCTGTCAAAAGAATCAGTTTCTTGTCCCAAGCCACAGTTCAGCGGACTCGGCACTGGGCAGATCTGAAAAGACTTGGCTGTGAATGTCCTAATCGCTGTGTACTGGATTGCTATGGAAGCCAATGCTAGCAGAAGAACAGCCTTCCAGGAACATTGCATGGCTGAACACCTTCATTTAGACTCTGCAATCTGTTTTGATGCTATCTGTGATGCAAAGAGGAAAAAATGGATTACAGACCAAGGCAAAAATAAATATGGGACAGAAAGCCCATTCATGTCTTACAGTAAACAGGCCAGGTGCAGGAAAACAGACTCCCAAAAAGCACACTGAGTCTCAAACTAAGATACAACTGCTTTTTATTAGTCTTCAAGGATTAAAATTATAACCTTTTCCAGCAACTGAAAAAATAACACTGAACATTTTTCACAGCTAAGTTTGTCGAGAATCTCCAAAGAATAAAGGGCCTATACTAACAGTAGGATGAAGTTTACAATAGCTCAGAATCATTACACAAGTTTAGGGCTCAAACTATAATGCATGACAGACAAAGCTGTAATTTGCATTTGCGAAACATTGCAGTGTTCTGCAACATTAGTAATAATTTATTTATATGTACTTAGAATTAAATAAAAGTCCCTATGGTTTCATTGAAAGCTAAACAATCCATCATGTGGATTCTGCTACAGTTTCAATGACATGCTAGAAAATAAAAGGTCTCCATGACTTTCAGCTATTTTCTGATTACAAAAGAGTTGCCACCATTAGGAAACATCTCTTATTGCAGTTAAACAAATGAAGAGTTTTAACCCAACATCCTAAGTTTGCAAAATGAGCCCTGAATAAATAAAAATGGCTTTCCTTTTCAAAGCTTATGTCCATGAGAGGTTCATTTTAATAACTGTCATGCATTGTTTAAGCATATCTTGTTAGGCAGGTGTAAGACGAACCCTCATTATTTCAACTTTTTGTGTTGCATGTTTATTACTGCTTCTGTTTACTCCCACAGTCCAGAGACGTACTGGGAGGTTAATTGGCTTCTGGAAAAAAGGCTCTGGTGTGACTGTGTTTGTGTCTGTGTGTGCCCTGCAATGGACTGGCATCCTGCCCAGGGTACAGTATATCCTTGCTTGACAGGATAGGCTCTGGTTCCCTCATGACCCTAAACTGGAGGAAGCAGTTGGAAAATGGATGGGTAGATGGAGAGATGAATGTTTGTTACTTTAAATTTACACATGCTTTATATCGGGTCTGTAAGGCTCGTCCTTCAATTTTTTTATAGGCAGCTTTAAATGGTCAATTAGCAGAGCTCAAAACAGCATGTTAATTTCTCATAATTAAGCAACAGATTGATCCAATTAAATCATTCGGAACTCAGCAGGAAGGAAAAACAGAAGATACTAGGACTCTCCAGGGCTAGTGATGCAGACATCAGCTTTATATTTTCTTGCTTTAATTTTTACTTTCCTTCCTCCTCTAGTTCTTTTCAATTGGATAACTGAGCCACACAACCTGATCTACAATGTTTATCATTTTCTTTGTCACTTTAGCCAAGAAACCAATCTGTTTTCTAAGCATTTTTTCTGTGGCTTCAGGTCCCCCAACTTAAGGGTCCTGTGGTTTCTAATCAGCTCACCAGTCCTTATCTCAGGATGTCCCCTCCTCACACACAATGGGGGAATGATCACAATCAGGTGCAATGCATGCATTTATCAAACAATGAAATCCGACCCTGTGTCATTCTTTTGATGTTCTGTAGCTGTGGTCTCCAGCCCTGGTCCTGGAGATCCCCAGTCTAGTAAGTCTTAAAGCTTACTCTAAAATATCTATGTTTACATTATTTTTCTAATGAGTAAGTAATAATTAAAGGAATTGAGGTCCTTGATACTTCAACGGTTTTCACATTTTGGAGCCTAATGTTCTCTTAATTGCTTAATTTAACAATTTGCATGCTTTAACCAGGTGGATGCTGCACATTGGTGGTGGTGGACGGGATCCCCATTACCTGTAAAGCGCTTTGAGTGGAGTGTCCAGAAAAGCGCTATATAAGTGTAAGCAATTATTATTATTATTATTATTATTATTATTATTATTATTATTATTATTATTATTATTAAACTGATAACAGTTAAATTGTTGTAAGTCTCTAAAAATCAGTGAGTTAATGGTTCTTCCCTTTGATGAACCTTTTGGTCTGGGGTTCTCCAGGACCAGGTCTGCTGATCTTTGTTCTGCTGGGCTCCAGGGATGATCCTGGCAGCTGCAAGGACTTAGGAAGACATTTTGCAAGCTCAATAGGCTTCATTTTGCTTTGAATACTTGGATATGATAATATAAGGAGATTGTGAAAACCTTTATACAATATTTGCATATTTTGGACTAATACTTGTGTGAAGAATGAAACTGTAGTATGATTTCCCTGCATGTACCATATTTTTCTATAGGTACCTCACTTGCTCTTTTTCGCTTTCAGCTGACTGAAAAATGTCTCGATTTGTTTGTGTGAAAAAGTCATAGTGGTTAGAGTCCCTTTGTATTTCAAGGTCTGGTTTTATATATTTACAGTATATTGTATTTTGAACATATCCCAGCTTTATTTTATTTTACCACTTGACTGTTTTTTTCTCCCTTTTATTCGTGGGTGTCAGGTAACAATGACATACTGTAGAGTGTCAGATTTTTACTGGTTGGTTAGGGAATCTAGTGCACTTGTGTCTGTACAGTCCCTTTGTCAGTGAGGGATAGCAGTCCTTGATATGGGAAGGTAAGATTTTGAAAAGCCCCTTGAGAAATGGATTGCTTGAAATAACAATGGAAAATATTAGAAAAAGTGCTGTTTAATTAAAATGAATGTATACCATGGGTTCTGCCTCCTAATCTGTGTGTACTGTAACTGTTTTTGTGTTATTTTTTTTGCATTTGATTTTAATAGATGTTAGGTTCATTGAACACATTTCTAATATGTTCATTTTGTTTACTACGCTAAATATTTCCATAATGTGAGAACAATTTAGCACAAGCTGACCTCAATAGAGAGGTACCACATGCTCCACGTAGTTTTAATAAGTATTTTATAGACATTAAATTGTTGTGGTGGCTGTGGACTGTGCCTCAAACTGCTCACAGGAGAGGAAGTCCTGTTAGGAATCGGCTTTCTGCTTTGACACAGTGATTTTAGGAAACCCGGTGTCTAGGGGGCACCTCAAATTTCAAATATTTAAAAACATTCAGCAGATTAATTACATTACTGCTAACATTTATAGCTTTTAACAAAGTCTATCGTTGAATAATCACGAATAAGCAGATGTAACGCTTCATTTGCAAAAGTTCATTTTGAGGGATTGTGTCAATGTAATATTTGTTTTTAGGCACTTATAAATACGCTTTCAATTACAAACAACGCTCATACTGTATTTGGAGACTGTAGTACAGCACTAAAGTTTCTAACTAAAAGGTACAGCTCATATTGTACTATTGTACTATTGTACTACAGGTTGAATTTAATTTAATGTAATTTCTCCTGTAAATTAGTTACAGTTTGTTGGTAATCTGTTTTAACAGAATGTACCATTTTTATATGCCAAATTTAATACCAGAGATTGGCGGTGAAGTTTCAGTCGCTTTAATAGATGACATACTAGGCAAACGTTTCAACTGTAACGGCAGCTTGTTGATTTCCTAACGGCACTAATAAAATAACCTAGAAATAAGAATACCGCATTGTCCGAAAGCAACGGGAACTTAACATTATTCTTGGAAGTTCCCTCAAGTTCACGACTTTCTCATCTGTAGAAAAGGTATACTTAATATCAGTCTGACACATGACAGTATGCGACAAAAGCGATTATCCGCAGGTTATCTTAGCCTACTATGAAGATCTGATTTACTGCAGAACTCCACATCCTTTCACTAGGAAATATACTGTAGAAATGCAGCGGACAGCTGAAAGAGAAATTTGCAAAACAGGCAAAACAATTGTGGCTGAACTTTTATCGGCATTAAAACATTTAATGCATTAAATAATGTATTAAACAAAAGATAATATAGGAACTGACAGAAAATAAATGTACTTGCCTTATTTCAGATCACTGTTTTATGTAGCAGAATGGTTGTTGGCGTTTCTGCGTAAAAGCGCTGCAGATGTGTAATTTTGTGTAGTTCCAGTCACAAAGGTTGGGTCCCATCTCTTCTACAAGGAACAGCCAAGAGAAGCATCTACCTTTTATTCCCTCTTCTGCCATCTGAATAGCAAGAAGAGAGAGGAAACGAAAAATAACCCACGCAAGAGACCGGGGTGGTGCTACACGGAGGAAGAGATCATGATTGTAGTTATTGAAAAAAAACATATACAACGTAATTATTCGAGCAATTGAATGCTATGACGAAGCAGGCGACCTTAGCATATGAGCACCCACTGAGTACGGAAGATTTTCTTAACTACAGTGTAGGTGTTGCTGTGTGGAGTATATGAGGACCAGGCAGTTAGCTCAATCTGGACCACCTCCCCCCCCCCAACACACACACACACACCATCCCCTTCCTCTCCAGCCCCATTTCCCACATTTCTCTCTCCAGTCTGGCTCAATTCTCCGTCTCGCCTCCGCAAAGTCAGCTTGCGCCTCTGCGTGGCGATACAGCTTCGATTGCAGAAAATGTTCAGTCTCCGAAGACAGCGGATTTTTGTCTCCGACACTGTACGCACCTCCCCTACATAAAAATCACAAGTTCATCATTCATTGGTTTTCGATTTAAGAATGGTATTAAACAGAAAACGCTACAAAGGTTAGCCTGTTACGCACTGTAATTACTATCACTGTTTACTATGCAGATGCTCGGATGAAAAAAAGAGAAATATTAAATTGGAAAACAGGTAACTTTTTTTTGGCAAGCAGCAGATGTTTTTGACATATACACTGTAATTCAACTACTGTATTTTTTAAATGATATTATTATTTGTAAGCAGGCTGCCTATGGCATTTTATAGGATTAGAATGATATATCATACAGATACATACTGTTCTTAAAAGTAATTTAAAAAAATTACTTTAGCAATAAATGTTTTGAAGAAAGTTTGTCATGTTGACACCAGTCACATCATCCTAATTTCATGTTGCGTGCAGTCAAATTTTTATCTTAACATTTAATAATCAAATGAAGGAACTGGTGACAAACTCCATTTGACTCGAGGTGTCTTCAGCTGTCCTGTCATTGAGTAGCATCCCACTCATTAAATATTTACAAACGTTTGCATGTATACTGTAGGCTTCTGACCTGGTAACACTTTGGTATCAAAAAAACATTATTATTGTAAGACAAAAAGGAGCAAGAAAGAAATGCAGTTTGCCGGTTACTGGTGTATACAAATATCTAAATTAAAGAAAACAAGAATGAGCTATTTGTGGTTAAAGCTAATAGTGTATGTGTCATTAAACAAAAGTTTGTAGCAAAAGGAAGGCAGATGTCCAAGAGCTCCTGTTTTTCCCATCTGAGGCTGTCATAACCAGTCATTTAACAAACATACTGTAGCTATGTGGTTAACGTTGCCTCACGAGACAGTGGGTGAATCAAACAGTATGAACGAAAGAAGCTCTATTACACTGACATCACAAGTGAGCTAGAACTGCAGAGCCGGACAGCTTGGATATAGTGGCATGTCCAGGCTTTGTGGCTCCTCCCTTCATAATCCAGTTTCTCAGAAATATTGGATTTCAGTGGACATGGTGATGAGTACTGAAAGGCCTATCTGAGGCAACAGATAGTTGTAACCAGCTCTGTATGAGGCTAACATAGATGGCAAAGGTGGAAGAGGATTGAAAAGGGAGTAGAAGAAGCAGGCCATATCTTCTAGAAATTATGGAAAAGCAATGAAAAAGACAATCCAAGTGTATAATAATACAATAGTATTGTTCAGTAGTATTGTACAAGGCACTCATAAGACTGCATTTAGAAAACTGTGTATACAGTAATTTTGGTCACTATGCTCCAAAAAACACACCACTCTGGATTCATTCCAAAAGAACAATGTACTGTAATACAGTACATTTCACTGCCTAAAGGAAGGTTCTACACTGACATGGAAACCTTCTCCAAGTCTATCAAAATCCGCAAAGGCATTGTCAACCCAGTGGTCTTCTTCAAATTGAACAGTGACATATGAACTAGAGGACACAAGGGGAAGCTACATGGAAGTACATTTAAAACCAGGAACAGAAGACTCTTCTTTATATAAAGGGTTGTGAGAGAATTTTACAAACTACTCAGCTATATTGTTTTGGCCAATAGCCTGGCTTCTTTTAAGAAGTGGCTGGAAGACACACTCGGATCAGTTAGCTACTAACTATCAAGCAGGCTAGGTAGGCCAGTTGGCCTTTTCCCAACTTCTGTTCTTATGAGAGAAACATCAAAGGAGGATCCATGGACAGAATAGGAAAATATTGTACACTGGACTGAGTGCCTGGACATTGGAGAGGAGTGACTGATTCTGATTCAGCATCACTGTCCAGCCTTCCTCTGGTACCATGGGTTAGTCGATAGGATGTTTCTACTCAATAACCCTTGTGATGTGCCCTTCCCAGCTCAGTCCAGAGTGTTGATATGCTAATTAGTGAGGGAGATCATACTTTGCTTGGTCACTGGGGCACGCATCACAACCGTCATGTGTGTTTATGTGCCAGCAAGGCTGCAAATACAGTAGGTACTGTACATGCATCCCTGGAATCAGCATCACATGTCACCCTGGGCCAATGTATGGATGTTGAAGAAAACCAGCTTCTACGTTGAATTATTATCTTGATGTGTCTTCACTAGATTCTTTATTGGTGTTTCATGTAATAGAAAAATCTGTTCTTCAAATTTCACCTGCGTTTCTGTCCAAAGCCATTAATATCCCCAACCACTCTCCTACAAAAAAACGTTTGGGCAAATCAAAGATACATAACGTTTGAGAAGTTTCAGTTTTTATAATAAATAACAAGCATGCAAAAAACAAATTGGCTTTTTTTCTGTGATAATTATAACATGGATAACAAAAGATATGGTTTTTGTGGCTAAAAGATTGATTTATTAATCCAAGGCTTCACAAGGCATAATTGAAAATGCTGTTGTGGAAAAAACATTTCTCATGAGAACGATCAACCTATTTATTTACAGTATTGGGATGTAAGTGTTCTAATAATGAACATAAAGATCAAGTGTGAATATTGAATATATGTTGAATACTGCAAAACCAACAAAATTACAGATGATCTACAGTAATTCTAATTCTTCCCATAGACCATTACACAGGTCATGCATATGCATAAAAATAAAATAATGGAAAGTTAAAACCTCCGATATACAGTATGTAATAACCAAAAGGAGAAATAATGAAAGTAAATCTTGCAATGAATATTTATCACTTTATCCTGTATGGAATAGTGTTTTGCCGAAGGCCACAATGAAATGGAACACCTCCCTGTTGGATAGTCGAAAACGGGCCATCGTAATAGCATGGGCAGAATCTTTTTTTTTAACCGAGCTTTGGAAAATGTTAAGAGCATCCCCTGTCTTCCACTTAAATGCACTCATTGCAGTGCCCTAAAATATGCATAACAGGTCCAGCATTACATTTATTTTCAGATTAACAGAAAGTATCATACAGTACATTCAAAATTTCAGTGGGCTTGATTGAACTGCAGGTGCAACCTTTCATGGACACCTGTTAAGAAATGACACTCTTAAGAATATACCCTTCATTTTAAACTGAAATACATTTCATTTTAGTTTGCTAAAGAAAAAATAATACATTCAACATTATGTTTATTTCTTAAAATCAGAGATATCAGAGATATCACACATTCAAAACTCCTAAACGGAACCGACCGATTTGTTTGGAGAATCTTAGTGTTTCTTTTCATGCAAATTTATTGGTAACAACAGTATGCAACCTTTTTATCTATACAGAGGCATATCATGACGTGCCTTTTTCAAGTGTTTGTTTTTCTCAGATTGGGACATCTTATAAAAGCCTCCTTTGAGTTCTATTTTTTGGATCACGTACAGCTAACTTTGAAAAAAGAATGCCTTCACTGTGTAATGTTTCTCTTCACAGAATAAACCACAGTCAAGCTTTAGCTCAACAAACCCAGAGGAAAAATGCTAAAAGGGGCTGTGGTTCTTTGGTCCTCATTGACAGGCTGAGGAGTTTCTTTTGAAAATATATATAAATATAATTTGTTATTTTTTCGTATTATGTAACATGTCACCACTTAATGTGTCACACTGCATGTCCTGGGCACCCAGCCAGAACACCATTAAAAGAAGGACAAGGAAGCAAACGCTGACCAGCCCTCTAGTGTTACATACTATGAAAGTGATGGTGCAAGACCGAGGGACCAATTAATGACAGGAAATTCCTTGGGTCAGTTATGGGCTTTAAATGCCCATTTGAAATAGATTGAATTGAACCTGTGCTAGCAGAAGCCAAGCCAACAGCTCTGCCTTTGGAGTAATGATACAGAATGCTTAATTACTCAATTATAACATTTCCATGCTGGTATCATATATCTTAAAGAGCTTTTAATGGCAACCAGAATTGATAAATATCAACCAAAATAGCTCAATTTATTCATGAAAGGTTAAGAACAGTTTAATTAGATTAAAATTATTTTGTTCTCAGGGCCTTGGCCAGTGAGTCACTGGTCTCATGTCTAGCCCAGTGAAACAGCTCATTCCACATACAGTATACTACCACGGAGATGAGTTTTACATTGTTGCTGTATAAATACTGGTTTAATATGCTGCTCAGATTTCTATTTAATGTTTTTGAAGCTAATAAGGTAACAGAGCAGACTGTTTGGTTAACTCCAGTTAATAGAAAAAAAACTTGTTTCTGGGGGTCTTCTCTGCCAGTGTTCCATGTTACCTACAAGTACTATAAGAATGCAACTTTCTTCATGACAATAAAGACACCTGTAAAAAGAGAACAAACAAAAAATCCCTTAAACTCCCAAATGCCCTTGATAAATAGAAAACATTAATTCCTAACAGTCTCCAAAAATCTCTGATCTTGAGTGAATTCTGACTTTCATCAGCTGCTTTTGATCTTGTTTTTTTTTTAAGAGCCATGTAGATGGATCTGTTTTCTCCATGGACACAAAATGCAGGAGTCCACTGCTGTGCTCACTTACCAGCCACACATTTTAGAACACAAATCACCACTGCCATCAAGAAGAGCATCTGTAAAACTATTTCAGGGGGCGCC